TTAACTCCGATATAAATTTTATTGAAAATTATAAAAGCCAAAAACACTCGGAAATATACCTTTAGAAGTTAGGGCTCCCAAGTGCTGGTAGTCTCTGATGCCTAGGCATGGTCTCCCACACTTATGCATGAAGTCAAAAATCTCCCACTAACCGAACCTTTTAATTCAGAATGTTTGCTAAAATACATTTACTACTGTGTTAGTAACAGTCTTCTTGAAATCTGCTGGCCTTGGTAACACCAAGCATAGAAAATTATAATATTACAATGTGTTAAGAAACCAGACCTTCCTCAAGTGCTTCACCCACATTGGGACCCCTGAGAAATCTAAGCATCCTGTTAGACAAGAGTATTTGAGTACTATATGTCTAGGGTTGACCAAAGCCTACTGTAGATATATGAATGACTATTTATCTGTAATCATTGTGAAGTAAAGATAGTGGTGTTGGTCTTTCCATGGATGAGAAACAAATTTTTAATATATTTGGCGCATTCTGTGGAATCTGAATTCTTACCAACAAAAGCAGTGTTTGAAAATGTTGTTTACTTAATTTGTATGATCCAAATACTACAAGACCACAAGTGCTGCTAACTACTTATTATCTGTTGGCACAGATTGAAAACACGACTAAACTTTCAGTGAACCAGGCGAAAGGAGAACGTTTTGGAATCCAGCCTTGATAGAGAACTTCGAATTAGAATATAAAGCGTGCACAATTCGATGATAGTATGAATTATTACAAGATCTATAAATAATTTCTCAAGGACATTTACAGAAAGTTATATCATGAATCGTGACGCGTATACTTAACTAATACACATGCGGTGGCATTTTTTGTCAGCGACAGTTATGAGATGACATGAAGTGGATTTTTAAGATGTTATTTTTACGAGAAGTATTATAATTTTAATTTAATCTTACAATGGAGTGGAAAGTATGAAAGCTTCGAAACTTGTCAAATTTAGGTATCTTAATCTTGAATTTTCGTTGTTTTATACTAGGTTGAAGTTTTTATCAAAGTCAAAAAGTACTTCTTTGGCAAATACAAATACTGGGCAACACAGTTTGAGAAATCCTGTAGGACATTAATTGTTAGTTTGTCTTTGATTTCATAAAAGTTTTAAATTTAAATGTTTAATGTTTATTGCATTTTATAAGCAGATACAAAATACATGATATGTAATATGGTATTCCACCTACAGTAAAATGATGAGAGCAGTTACCGTAGCTTTTTTTTTAAATTTCATTCTGGTTTTTATTAAAAAATTGGACATTGCAGTACAAAAGTGAATAGAGTCAATTTACAAAATTTATAAAATCAATCATAAAAAATTCATTATATCAATCATTAAAAAATATATTATATCTATCTGAAAAAATACATTAAATAAGTCTTTAAAAAAACCATTAAAATAAAAAAAATATAAAAATAAACAGATACAAGGACATACATCAAATTGAAATACGCATGTGTGTATATATATATTGTTACATCCTTGCCTAGTTTTAATTAACTTCTTTATATAATTATATAATATAATATTTTGTAGTTAGCATTTTTATGACCTTAAGTTTTACTCAACATTTTCTAGGAAAGTACTATTTCCTTACTTTAATTTGTTTTACTTTGTAAAGCTCATAAATATTATTATCCTACAGTATGCTATTATCCTGACACACAAGTTCCTTTACCCGTGGTCAGTATTTAATTAACACAAGGTAAATGAACTGAGCTTGGAATGCTATGTTCACACACACGGCGTAAGACTGGCGTAGCTTACGCCAGGCGTAAGCTAATTCTCGGATTAAAATTCTAAAGTGTTCACACAAACGGCGTTCGCTATATTAACGCTGGCGTTAAACTAGTATTAATATAGGCCTATGGGGGAATAGTTTTAAGTTTTAAATAATGTACAGGTTATTAACTGTAGTAAAATTAACAGTGCATCAGTAAAACTTTTAAATCTGTGAATTGTTCGAAGTGAACTTATATGATTATTGTATTTTAAATGAACAATTTTACTTTGATTTTTCAGCTAGCATTGTTGGCTGTCTCTTATACCCATCTAGATGTGTATAAGAGACAGCTCCCACACTTATGCATGAAGTCAA